AAAAAAAAAAAAAGAAGATTCAATGAAGACAGATGTGAGAATCGTCTTTGAATAAACCAGACATTAAAAAGGCTTACAAAGGTGGAAAATGCCATTCTTTTTACACTTTTTTTTTGTTTTGGAAAATAAATGTTTTCAGAGAAGATGTATTTAAATTAATAAAAAATGGATGTATTAAGTGAATTAATTACCTTTTACTTCTCACAGGCTAATTATTGATAGAATCTACATTTAAAAACAATTTCTTAGGGTCAGCCAAATAGTTCAGTGGATTAAAGTGCCTGCTTAGGCAGATGCAGGTTTAATCGCTGGCAAGTCGTGCTAGCCCTGCCCCTTAGGTGTGCTGAGATGGCGATTGAGACAGGGTATGGTGACACACACCTGTAATCCCAGCTCTTGATCACTACAACTCTGATCTACATGGTGAGACCCAGGCTAAAATACCAAAAAAAAAAAAAAAAACTTCTTTGAGGTCCTCCACAGTTTTAAACAGTATAAAGACCTATTAAAACTAAAAAGCTTGGGATTTTCTCCTAAATCTTATTTTCTCATACTTCTGGGCCTTTGTACCTGACATTCTGCCACTGCTGTTGCCACCCTAGAAGCTCACACCTCTTCCTGCAACCCACACTATTCTTCATGATTAAGCATCATTATACAATGGAACCAAGCATTGTGACCAAATGGCTTCTATTTCACTAATTTATTTATGAACATTTACTGAGGGTATATTATGGACAATAGGATACACTCCTCCACACAGAAATTACACACTACGTAAATACATTACACAAACACTGGAAGAATACAAAGTTACAAACATATAGATATGCAAATTCTGAAACACAGATGCTGAGTGGAAAAGCATGGTGGAAAGCCGGAGCACAGAATGCAGAACAGGAGGTAGAGGATTAGAAAAGCCCTTTGGGTAACACTGTTCTTAAGCAAATACCATAATGATGTCACCTAAGCAGAGTTGGGGAACACCTATTCCCAGCAAAAGAAGGAATATATGCAAAGACCTTAGGACAAGAAAAAGGTTTTCCATGTTCTAACATCTGAACCAGCCCCAAATCATGAAAGCATAATGAGTAATAAAAAGGAGTGGTAAAAGGAATAGTGCTTCTGAGACTTTTAGCAAGATTTGTCAAAATCAACTTGTTTACTTTAATGAGAAAGAAATAGCAATGAGATAGTTTCAAACAAAAATCAATTTGTTTGTAACTCCAGAAATTAACCAATACTTTCCAACATTCTGAAGAGTATTTGTAGTGGTCAACACACTGTGTCAACTTGGCTAGATCACCTTGGCAGTTCCACACCTGGGCCATGGGGGCCTGCCCCAGAGTGACTGAGCACAAAAACGGTATACAAAGGGGTTGAGGAAAAGACTCCACTTCCTTGGAGGAACTTCGGCATCTGCAATAAGCTAAGCATCTGGGTGTGCCTGAGGGCATGACCTTGAGGACAGCGCCTGGTCCTGGCTCCCTCCTCTCTGACTTACCCTGTGCCCTCATTCCTGGCTGCAATGAAGTCAGCAGCTTCCCTGTATGTCCTTCCACTCGGCTTCTTCCTCAGATCCACCAAACATAAACTGAAAACTTCAAAACACAAAATAAACACTTCCTCCTTTAAACTATGTATGCCAGGTGTTTTGTCCCACTGACAGAGAGCTGATCAATTTAGAAAACTGGACCCAGAGAGGTGGAGTCATTGCTACAACTATACCTGACCATGTGTTTGGGAAATCTTTGGAACTGGCTTTAGCAGGCATTTGGGAAGGTTGGGAGATGTGGACCAGAGAAGTCTTAGAACATTTGAAGCAGAGCTTAGTGGACAATTCTAGTGAGGGATCAGAAGACTAGAATGTTGGTTGAAATGCAAATCATAAAGACTATGCACACACAATGGCTAAAACTTCCCTACACTTTGTCGATGTCCTAAGCTGCCCCTGCTTGAAAACAGCCACACTGGGAACAGTTCTCCAGGATTCATTTCACAGTGCTCAGCCATGAAGCACTCAGATGCCACTACAGCCATGATTGCAGTGAGCCTGGGCACAGTCTTAGGTGTCATCCACATCAGGCTTCTGACATGAAGAATACAAGTGTTACAGTCATGGAAGCTTCCACACAAATTCAAAAGGACAGCACGGGTGATTACATGACACATGACACAGTCAGAATACCACAAGAGTCCCTGAGTGGAAGATGCAAGAAACTGTCAGAGGGAGGTCAAAGCTTGAATAAACACTCCAGAAAGCTGGAGAGGCCAGGAATGCGGGGCACCTGCTGAGGAAAACTGCAAATAGTGTGCACAGAGAGGCTCAAAGAGAGGCCACACAGACCATGACTGGCAAGACCACAGAGGCGGGGGCCCGCAAGGCTTAGATGCTCACATCACACCACCACCCATGTGCACTGAATGCCAGACACAGAGCTATACAGGCCTTGATCTTTTCTAAGTTCCAGCCTTGTTTTGGTCTGACTCTTTTCTGAATCCCTACTGGAATGATAATGTTTACTGTGGGTTACCTTATCTTGGACATATATATCTTGGTTTTTTTTTTAATTTTACAGAGACTCACTATAGTATAAGAGTTGCCCTGAGTGTTAGAAGAGACTTTGGACTTGGAATTTTGAGTTGGTATTGTTGAGACTTTGTGGAAGAAATTAGTGTGTTTTCCTAATTATTTTGTTTCCCCAGTACTTACACTGGGCACAGTTCTGAACTTACTGTATTTAGAGACCAGCCACCCAAGCAGATATGTATGCGTAACAAGGTGACAAAGGATAGACACATGGCTGTCACTCTTGATTGTCAAACTGAGTGGTCTCAGAGACGGCTAGGAGATTGGTCATGGGGTGTGTCTTTGGAGGCTTTCTCTGTTCCTGGGCTCTATTTTCTCAGCTTCTTGGGTGCCATCCTGTAAGCAGCTTTTGTTCGCCATGTTTCTGCCTTGGAGCCAGTAACCATGAACAAACATCTCTAAAATCATGAGCTCCAACAATTATCTCTCCTTTATGTCATGCATATCACTTATTGTGTCCCAGCAATAGACAGGTAACTGACACAGTGCCAAGAAAGAACAGAGAGGACCTTAGTTTCTCACTGCCAGACTCTGAAGCTCTAGAAAGTAATGGCCGGGCCGGGGAGATAGCTCAGTAGAGTAAGCGCTTCCCTGGCAAGTGCAAGGGTCTGAGTTCAATCCCCAGTTCCAGCAAAAAAAAAAAAAACCTAATGGCCAAGGGAGGGTTAAAAACTGACCACTGGAATACTATTGATACACCCCAACTAACAGAGCCTCTCTCAAAGGCCAGGATACTTACAAGATTATAGCTATGCTTTCCTTTGTGATAAGGTCTCAATATGTGGCCCACTATACTACCAAGGTTGGTCTCAAACTCATAGGCTCAA